TCTCCTAAGCAAGATGATAAAACATGTATCCTGCCAGTGCTATTTACTTTGAGTATTGCTACCTATCAATTACACTCATTGCTCAGCTGCAGGAATCAACAGTAAACTTTCTCTGCCTGCATCACTAGCATTCATTTGGAACTCCAGATCATTTTAAGGAGTTAACTTTTTCTTACACGGCGTGGATATTTCTTCAATGTATATGAATACATACAGGACTACGTATGTTCTTTGAAAAGTCCTGCAGAAACTCCCTAAGAAAAAATATTTTTAAAATAATTCCATTGAATCTAATTTATAAAGCAAATAGCTGAATAAATACATGCCACTTGCAATAATTTCCCTTTTGAGTCTAAGGACTCCTGTCAGATTTGAGCTATTTTTTCTGGACAAAGTTGAGCTGATTATCTGAATGTAAGGATCTCAACACAGAGAAACTCTATTATTACCAGTAGCAGCAAACCCACTGGAACACATCTCACCTATCATGAATAATTCCTTTTCCTCAGCATGAATTGGGAGATTTGCCCCACAACCACCGCCACCAGGTTCTGTCTTTGCGAGACCATAAGAATTTTGGTATGCAGACAAGGGGCAGCTACATGTTGAAGAAATAACTGGCAGAGAAGGTTGAAAAGGCAAAAAAATGCAATGCTTCCTGTAGAGCAGAAGAGGAAATATCCTATCTTTTAATGCTCAAAAATAAACTTCGGAATCATAAGAATTGTCATTCTATACAGAAGGCACCAAAGAAAGCAGAGACTAAGCAGGGAATGCTGCAGAACTAATATCAGTAAATAAGGAGGAAGAAACAATAGAAACACTTTATTCAAACTTTATGGATGTAATTGTTTCATGGCTCTAGAGGTTAAAAAAAAAAATCAGATACAAAATGGAGTTTAAGATAGTTTAATGAGATTGCATCTTGGGGGGACAACCCTCATCTCGTGCTCTAATCCCAGATAATCTGCTGGTGTCATTTTACATATCGCTAGGCAAAGCAAAGTCAGAAGCAGACATCCACTTCAGGCAAATAAAAGCTTTTGATCACAAAGTATTCAGGGATTTAGATCTTTTGTATCATTTAATTATGGATGGCGTCATACCAACACAGATTTTTCCTTTTTATTAACACCTCGGATGAATACATATAGAACTGTACTTACTGATATCATTCCATGGCAGATGTGTTTTTTTGTGGCTGCCAGAAGTTCCTATTTGTCTATAGCAAAATATACAGTAAGCGGCCACTGACATTCTGTATATTAAAAAAAAAAAAAAGAAAAAGTAATGATTGATTTGAGAATTACAGCAGAAAACCTGTAGCAGTTTTCTTTCCTGTCTTTTTACAGCAAAGGTCACAATAAACCATATTTATGTCATTTCACTCCATATAAACGCTCTAATTAAAGAAGTCTATAAACTCCTCAATTTAATAGGCTGCATTTCAATTACAAGAAAAGTTTAAAGCAGTTTTTCATACAATTACGCATTACTGTTGATTTTAGTGAGTATGTATCTCCAATTAACTTCTCTGCTTGTAAGTCTCCTTTCCTACTTCTTAGTAGCTCTCCCTTAAATACCAGATACGGTCATATCTCCATCAAGACATTACTCAATATGACATGGGCTTTAATACAACTGAGTAACCAACTGCTTTTAAAGTTCATAATTGATTGTGTTAGCAAGTAAGTCTTTTTATTTTGACTAACAAGACTCCAAGGACTACTACGTATTTTTGCCTTTAAAGGGCAAATCAGACTAATACTTCAAGAATGTAAAAACTCTACAGTTAATAAAAATAAGTATTGGTTCTAAAATACTCTGACTCCATGGGCTTGTGAAACTCATAGGGCATGCTTACAGGTAAAACATAGAGGACACATCTCATTCTAGAAAAATTCTTACACATGCAAAAGAATGAAAAGCTAGCCATACCCATGAAGAAGAGGAGAACCTTTTCTAAAATTAAGACCTTAGCAATTCAACACTACGAAGACACAGAATACTGACAGACTAATTGCAAAGCATTCACCGAATGCTGAAATCAAACTAAGCAATATAGAATTTTTTTTCCAAATAGTCACAAACAAATGCACGTAATGTGATTTAGAACTACCGAAGTTCTGAATGTAAAAGCAACCCAATGCAAGCATGAATCTTCTTGATAGTAATATGGTCCCCACGAAGGTAGCATCCGAGTGCTTCAGACACATGGAAGGATTTATTCTCCTGACCTATCTATTGATGCAAGACACTGAATTTTCCCCGTTTTACAGGTAGGAAAATGAGTTAAGACAAGCACAGTGCAACTTCCTTACACATTCTAGATACTACCTTGCCTCTTTGAACAAGTGGGACTATTCAGGAGGGACGGTAAAAGAGCCATGCTCTTTAGCCCACTGATCAAGGCTGCATCTTAACCACCGCACAGTAAGTTCAAAAAAAGTATACATATATTACTCAAGCACTGAAAACCAAGGCAATTTAGGCCAGGCAAAAGCACCAATTCCTGTTTCTACCACTCACATACATTTACCATTTTATGTATTAGCAAATGTAACTGCCTTTATGTTTGATTTATATAAGAAAAACTTACCTAAAGTTAGGAAAATATACAAATTGGCTTTGACAACCCACAACAGTCAAATTCTGTACATTACTTCTGCTGAAGTCTTAATCAAGTCTTAATAGGTTGAAAATGTAGTATTTTTAGTGCAGGAACTATGCCAAAATCCACAAAGAATATTAAACTTCTATAACAATCCCAAAATACACAAAAATCGGTTGCTGCACACACTGCAGAAGTAACATGAAATTTGTATTTTATGACAGGTGAAATTTTAGTGTCTGCATTGATACACTTATGCTGACTGATACACTGAATTAAGTTAATCTGTTTAAACAGATTTAAAACCACACCACTATCTATCATACATTTAAGAAATTATTATGTTGGAAACATAGGTGTCCTTATTAAATGTCAAATTAAGTCTGTACCACCACAATGACAATTAACTCAAAATGATAAAATGTCATGCATGTAAATCTTGACCAGTAAATCTGATCTTAAAATATGGGAGCGCCTGATATTCCCCTTGAATTTAAGGTAATCTCTACAGACCAAAAAAAGAGCTTATATCACTTTTAATGTCAGTGTCCAATTTCTCTAAACAAGGGGACTTTTTTGTTTCCTTCCATTAATATGTCTTCCCTCTTTTCTCGTTTCCCCAGAAGTTTTCATTTTCCCCGTTCTCTTGCTTGTGTTTGGGAGACTTTGGAAAAACATCAGCATTACCCCAGCACTGCCACAATCACAACAGACAACTTTTTGGCTTCTGTCATGTTTATCCATTGACTTCAACAGAGTACACAACACTATGAAACACTTTTAAGACATTAATAATCAGCCCCCTGGAGACACCACCCCCGCCTCCAAACTCTCTGTCTGATCTATGGCAGTTCCTTTACTATCTTTATTCATAGAACCACAGCATTCACATTTATTCTCCTACCTAACCACAGCCTGTAACTGCAATAAACATGTAGTTCAGTGACAGCAGGTGCCACAATTCCCTGAATTAAAGACATGCACCTGCAAACGCAAGAGGCCAAAGCCAGCACCATTTCTTTGTTGCCAGGAACCTCTGTTCAGGCCTGAGAGCAAATATGCTTAGGTATATAAAAATATAATGCAAAAAGACCCATTTTGTGCCCTGTTTCACAGCTGGTTCAGGAAGCGCTGCAGTCTGCAACAAGCTCCTGCACCGGCCCATGCCGATGAGGCTGTGTGGTGCCAACGTTTCTATCGTTACCCCAGCGTGGGGGGCAGGAACACTGCTGCCTCGCAACTAGGGTACATTTAAAAAAAAAAAAACAACCAAACTATTTTAGGCAACGCGACATCTAAATGGCCAAAGAGCAAAGCAGGGATAACTCCGTGCCTCTTTCCAAAGGGGAAAAAAATATTTGTTACCTTTCATGCGCTCACACGGAGCAGGTGAGGCCTAAGGCACCACTGTTGTTTCTGGAGGTTTTTAACAAGCGCGGGCTCCCCCGGGGCCTCCCCGCGCCCGGGCGGGGCAGCGCCGCTCGGCAGGCCG